CGATGACCAATACGGATACCAAACCTCTAGCGTTGTGAAGATGAAAGACTGAAAGGACATGGGGTTTGCAGACTGCCAGGACTTCGGCTGTGTTCATGTAGCACACACCTAATGCTGCCCTTGAGAAGTCTGTAGCAATCAGAGCAGAGTTTTGGGGCAAGGCAGGTGTGCTCAACAGTAGTATGATGCGAATACCGAAGGAAAGCAAGATGCTTTCTAACAAACTTCTCTCGCAGCTGTGCAGTTCAGGTGGTCTGTCCTTTGCTATGCAAACCATTCTCGCCTATTTTACAGCTACCGGTTCCATGTAAGGGAACCTTTTTGACAACCCTGCATTCCCCCTCCCCCCCCACCCCGTCCCAAATCTAAAACATCTTTGATGGTTACTCCTCCTTCCCATGGCTGTATCTGAACATGACATGAACTGCCAGATGTATTGTTGCAGCTGAGCTTTGCTTGTGCAAGACCTGGCAATGAGGGAAAGTGGGTACAAATTACACTTGTGTTTCTTTGGTCCTAGGATGAGCTGCCAGCAGTGCAGAGGCAGTACTGGCAGCTACAGGTCCCTGAGAGGTTGTGGCGGGCAAGCTCCAAGACCCCATACGGTGTGAAAACCCACTTCCATCTATAGTATCTAGAGGTATTGCAGGTATTGCGATATAAACAGTTGCACCCGCATTCTGGCTATGTTGCACGGCCAGAACAGTGGACATGAGCTGAACTGACTCCAGGATCTAACACAAAACTCTCTTCATTGTTCCCAAACATTTAACATAACGGGGAAAAATAATCCTACTTGTCTGAAGTAAGTGGAGTAAAACAAGGAACTAACACTACTAAGCAAAAATAGAGATTTTAAAAAAACATCTGTTATTCCGTGCTATGTTCTTTGCTTAGCACCATTCAGAGGTAGTGCACATATGCAGCATTACTAAGAAAATGTAAACGAGACAATTTGAACATTGCTTTGCAGAGTCTGGTCTGTTTCCTGAAAAAAACAGTGTATAGCTGTGCACTTAGCTGGCACGTCCAGTTACTGAGACTGAACTACGCGCGTTGGGACGGAGTTTCTTGGTGGTCCTTTTTTATAATTGTCTTTTGACATCCAGACCTAATCTCTAATCACATTTATCTTTGGCCTCAAGATCCAAGATTTCTGCAATTAAGCAAATTAAGTGCTTTTACTGACATCCCCAGTTCTGCAGAGAATTAAGGTCTGCAACAGTTTTCCATTCCTCTCTCCATGCGGTGTTTCTGAAAAAGGTTTTGATTTTGACTTTTGAATGTGGTGTTCACAGAACGCTGTTCAGTAGCCACCTCAGTACAGAATATAAAAGACAGAACAAATTGAGGTTTAGCCTCTTACTGAAGGTAACCCTGAAGTTAATCCCTAACTGGTAGAAAAATGAGCAGAAATCAGAAACCTGTCACAACTGACAACTGAAAAGACACATCCCAAAATATTAATCTTTAATTGACACATTGTTCATTCTTGCAGGGTTTTCTTTAAAGGAATTATCCTAGGAATGCCACCGATCGCATTAAACGATACTTATTTGTGTTACATCTGGTTTAGCCCTTTATTTATTTATATTTTACCTGAAAATGTATTTTCTTAGAGACCTTATAACAGCATTTCTGCATTATCAGTTCATTTTGTTCTCCTCTTTCCTGGATATATTAGCCAGGAAAAGGAATTCCCAGTCTGTAACAGATTAATTCACACGTTTTTACTTTGTCCACATAGAAAAATGCAATTTCTGGATCACTGAGGCATATGGATTATGAACAAGACACCCCAAAAACTAACTATGCAGACGGGGATATACTTACAAAAATCTTTTATGTCAAAGTTAGGATTTCACAACATAACACGCTAATGCAAAATCCAGTAGCACCTGAAAGATTAAGGTAGCTGCTGCTATCACTTGCACATACTTGAAAAAGATTTAAGAAAAAAATAGAGTTAAAGTACATTCTCCAGAGAACAGCAAGGGTATTTCAAAATAAAACCTGTACTTTTTCTCTTTTTTTGGGGGGACACACACGCGTATTTCTCTTAGTTTTTTTGGTGATACTTTTTGCCTTTTTTTTTTACAAGACTGTAGTTGCCATATAACAAGTTATATGCGATGTGACTGCTCTCCCCTCCAGTGCAAGTTCATGGTCATGTTTTCAGGCTATAGTACTCAACACTGTTTTCTCGTACACATATTCCCATAGTTTCATCAAAGATAGATACAATGTATAATACCTGTCTGTCTCTGGGAAAGTAAGGTTTCAAACAGGCAAACTTTTATCTTAAAATAGAAGTGGAGAGGCTACAGTAGGTATAGCCACCTAAGTATGAACTCTTGGTCACAACTTCTGAACACTCACCTACTGTACATAAACATTAAAAATAGTCTTAGCAATAGGATTTTATTTATATGTGCACGTATGTCCACCTTATCCAATATTTATGTTTGGCAACTATTTGGGAATTCAAAGGTGCAGCCCTCAGTAATTTTATTATTAAAAAAAAAGAAATGAAGCGTATCTACTCTATGAGAAAAGAAATTCTCAAATATCAATTTCCAATTTTAAATTTAATTTCAATAGGAAAATATTAAAAATGTGCACATCTAAATTTTTCCATGTTCTGTATATACATATGTGTGTGTACGTATACATAGAAATACTCATGTACCACACATATTCACAAAATTTAAGTGGAAATATTTCTGTCCACTATTTTCCCACATGTAAATGACATCATATCTTTAAAAATGTCAATAATAGTATCATTAAAAATAATATTACATTTATTCCATCATCAACTTTCTGCGTTTTTATTCTTTCTTCATCGTTATTACGTCCACTGAGCATTAACAGGCCAGATTCTCCCTGCACTTCCACAGATGTTATGCCAGCTGAATGTTGCTGACATCACATCAAGGACACATCTGGTTTACAGCAGCCCAGCTGACAGGAGAATCAGGCCCAAACATCCCCAGGTAAATTAAAAACTGGTCGTATCTGCTCATCTGGACCTGATGAAGATATACGCACCACTGTCTAAAATCCACTGAATGAAAAACATGTAGCTCACCACAAAGTTTTTAACCAGTAGCACGCTGATCCAAGCTCCCCCCACCCCTTTAATAAATAAAATAAATGAGAAAATACCCTAAAAATATGGAGGAAACTTAAGCATTGTGTGCATTGCATACTGTATAATACATCATGGTTTAGCATTTGACCTAAACCATTTTCCTGACTAGTCAGGGGAGACCTGATAAATCACTGCTAAAGAAAGAAAACGGTATTTTGGAAATAAAGCGTGTATTTCTAATATAAATGAGGACCTGTGTGTATTATATGGTATATACACACAGTACACACATGAAAACAAACTTATCTTTTCTAGTTTTGAATAGCAGTCTCTAAGTGGAGAAAATTGTGTTGTACAAATTTAATAAGCAGCTAGATTTCATGTTTAACATTCAAATTAATTTGGGGAGCAAACAGAGGTCCGTGCATCTTTCGACTCTGAAGTCTGACACTCATTCATACATTTTAAAAAAGCCCTCTTCAACATTACAAGCAATTTATGGCAAGAATGTACTTTGATGCAAGACACATGACACTTGGCTTACCTTTCAAAGAGGTTTTTTTTAAAATAAATCTATTATATAAAGAAATGTGTGTTTGCCAAAAGTCTGTTAAAATTACAACTTGTTAAATCAAAACAACTTTAAAACCTGCTCACTGAGGATAATTGAATTCAATTTCCCGTTTTTAAACATTTAGTTAACAGTTCAGAATATTGCCTGGTGTAGTTTCAATGAAGATGTGATATGAAGACCCATAAAAGAGTAAACATGTCTCCATCTGAATTTGCTATGACAACAAAACTTGTAGAAACAGCTTTCTTGGCTGGACAAGTTCAGTGTACGAGTAATCCCTTGCAATAGCTCTTTGCCCTTAATGCAATCTGTAATAAAACAGTGCTCCCCATAAGCCATTATTCACAAAACCTGAAATTCATGTGACATTCTGAAAAAGTCTCCTGCAGAACAGGTTAACAGTTAATTGAACATACATATTCGATATATGTATCAAGGCCAGAAAACAAATGACTGGCTGTTCCTTGTTATCTGTGCATGTCAAATTTTACATTTAAAATTCTCAGGGGTTTTTTGCCCCCTTTTTTTTTTTCCTGGGGGACTCACCTTCCATCATTGGTTGGCTTCAAAATACAGTTAAGTGGAAGATAGTATCTCACTGTAATTACATGGAATTCATATGAAAAAGTAAACCTTACATTGGACAATATTGTAGAACACCAGAGTAAGCTCCATAAAGAAATACGGTATCTTCCAGTATATATATATATATATATAAAAAAAACAAAAAACAACCAACCAACCAACCAAAAAAACCCCAAAAGGAAGAACTTTATACAAGCAGTTATATTAACTTTGTTTCAATTAAAGATGCAACTCTCTCTCACTCCTGGCAAGAATAAACTGGTAATGGCACTGCTTCTCCACAGTGCAAAGTATCCTGAGAAATTATTAAGAACAACAAAATACAGGGCTGCCATCACTAAGTTCTTGCACAAAACACAGCAATTAAATATCTTAAATAAATAAAACAGCAGATAACCTATATAGTGTCTATCACAAAAAGGGGATGTGACCTGGGACACTGCTAATTCTTTCATCACTGATAATTAGAAAAGGATTGCATTCAATTACTGTTAATATCTTTCAAGTTATCTATGGCCAATAATGTACAAGGAGGTAATTTGTAATTCAAGTTTTTTTGTTTTTTTTTTCTTCAACTAGCTACAAGCTGAATTCTAAATTTTACATTGAAATACGACTCAAATTTAAAACAAGCCCTCTCAGAGGAGCATTTTCTAATTTTGTGCAACTTTGATGCAGAGCCCAACACAGTCCTACGAAGAGAGACAGTGCATCTTTAAGCTGATTGGCACTGAAATCCCATTTTCTTTAGCTGCATTCTATTAGCTTGGCCAAGTTATCTCGTAACTCTGTTAGTTCAAATATTTTTCCATCAAGAATTTCTAAAAGTGTCTTCAAGTTATTGCGAAAAGCTTCTTGCTCATTCTGACTTTTCTCCAGACGTTGCTCTAGATCAGACAGCTGGCCTTCCAGGTCTTTGTTTCGAATTTCTACTTCCTTCAGAGAAAATATATAACATGTTAATGTGTTGTCTGCAAACAGAAAGCAGTCTAACCTCCTGCTGGTATTCGTGTGCTATTTTTGTCAATTGGTTTTTAAAACAATTTGTGACCCTTCACAGTTTCCACTAAGCCAAAACCAGAACCCAAATTGTTATTACGATTGTGTATGTACTACTACTTCCTCCGTTTTTTCAGTAATTCATCTGAAGGACAGAAACTTTTGGAGAGGGATAAAATTTAGTCAGTGAACAACGGATGTGATATACTTACTCAGGTAAGTTATTGCTTTTGTCATTCAGAAATGTGCCACCTCCTGAAAACAGCTTCTCAAAGGTTTACTTAAGTTCAAGTATTCCCTGACGTAGGCTACATGAATTGCTTGAGGACGTAGTCCCCATTAAATGGTCTCATACAGAAACTCATACAGAACACTGCTTTACGGATGGAGGAGTACTACCTTACTCCTGTCCCACATTATAGGACTTTTCACCCTGCAAATTAAGACAGAAACATAAACTAGCAAGACCGATGTCAAGGTGACATTGATCGTAACAAATTTAAACCAGCAAGTGCAAGCTGAATGTCTTGTCTCGCTGCATGGTGCCCCGGAGCACCCACCTGCAAGCCCCACAGTAGTGCAGCTGTGGGGGTGAGCCAGGAAAGCGCGCGAGCCACTAGTGCCATATGGAAAAGCTGTTCCCATACAGCGGCTGGAAAGACGAAGCGGCGGCATGTTATGCACAGCTGAGGGTATCTAACCCTGAGCAAGCTCAGCTCTCATTCACGAGGAAGAGTAGCCCCATGGCGCCAGCCTGCTGGGACCCCTCACAGCTCTGGCTTGCCCTTGACAGGGGAGGGAGGTCACAGCTGCTCAGCTTTGTGCAGATTGGGTGTCCTCTCTTCTATCACATTACTAATGTAGCAGTCACGTGGGTCTGGAATAGCATATTGTTGTTTGTCCCATTCATTGCACGTCTCGTAAATTCATGCTAAATTTCATAATTTCAATAACGAAAAGCACTTTCAAAGGCAGCACAGGGACAGTGTATTTAGTACACCATACCCCCTGTGCAGCCATTCTCTGAAAAAGTGCATAGTGAATTCATATTTACATACATTAACATTTTTTCAACACCGCTTCCCTTTACAGTGGCTTTGTGTCACAAAGCTTTAACAGGCCTGCTCTGAGTTTTACAGCAACTAGTTTCACACAGCCATAGGGAGGGAGATTTGGCAGCAGTCGCTGCTCCCAGCACAAGCGACTCCTCTTTCACTGTTTTGTTATGATTTTTCTGTCTCCTTCAAAGCTAACAAATATATTCATGTTTACACTAGAGAGATCTCAGCTAATCATAAGAAACAACCTGACCCATACACAATACGTACTTGGGCAGTCAAGAGTAACAGGTATAAAATGGCAGCCGTGTGTCAAAGTCCGTGGCCCAAGACATGTTTCCACCCGTGAGGAGTCTGATGGCAGCGTTGATCGGCCGCTGCATCCCTGGCCAGAGGAGGGATGGGGTGATGTGGCCAGTGCTCAGTTTCGGCTCCCAGCCTCTGCAGCGGGGGAGAGCTCTGGGACCCCCAGCAGTGGTGCAGGTGGAGAAGGCAGAGCTTTGGGAACCTGATCTCCTCATAACTGTGGCTGCTTGTGCAGCCAAGGGTTACATCCAAGCTGAACTGGAATACCTCCCTTACTTCTTGTTTGTGAATGGGCAAGTTAAAAATTAGAGTTTTGGGCACTGGTCTTGCACAGCACAGTTGAGAGCAGGAACTACCCCTTGCTGCCAGGACCAAGAGAAGAATTAGTCTAATCTGTTTAACACTGAACAATATAGTTGCCAAAGCACTAAAGGAAGCTAACTGAAAAGAGTATTTGCCGAAACAATATAAATCAAAATACATACATGCTTATGTAGTGATTAGATACCCCACCGCTGCTACAAATGAACAAGCTAACTTATTATAGCCCAGCCATACCCTCTGAAGGCTCTCCTTCATTGAGCCTACTCCTGCCCTCCAAGCCTAGTACTGACAAATACCACCTGGTGTAGTAACTCCATGGGTTCAAGACCCTCTGAGGCCAAGTGACTGCAGTACAGGACCAAAAGGGAAATTCAGCTCTGCAGGAATGACACCGTCCTTTCTTTAGCCCACCAAAACCGACTGCTGTTTTTCCGTTTGCTCACGTGTGCTGCCTCTCCTGTCACTGCTCCTCTTCTACTCACCAAATGTGTGTGCTCTAGGAAGCCTCCTTGCCACTGCTCTTACCCCAGAGATAATTAATTTCTGTAAGTAGGCAAGCCAGTGATGAAAGGGACCACTTTGGAACAAATCCATGGATACATACATGGTTTTATTTCATGGTATCTGGGTCTGAAGAGCATCCCATTGGCCTGTATCTAGCACTGAAGATCATCTTTCAGGCCCTCCTCAAATGCTCTTAAACTGAGGAATTGTTCTGCTGAGTTCTGTGAGCTGTTAGGGTGGGAGCACTCAGGTAAAACTAAAAGCTTTACGTTAGATGTAGGAACTTCCATCCATATTCAGCAAAAGGCTAACTTGCCGTTGCTAGTCCTTGCCCTGTATCTCTTCAAATCAGAAGAGCTCCCTTTTGTTTAAATTTCCAGCTTGCATATTTTATTTATATTCCATTCTTGACATCTCTTTTCAAAGCCATACACATTTAGCTTCCCAAACATTTCCTCAGATATACTGTCTCCCACACTTCCTCCTGTTTCATCTTCCCTAACTTATGCTTAACATATTTAATGACGTATGGGAAGTAGAACGAACTGAAATATGCCAGGAGCTGTTGCTTTTAATTTCTGCAAAATGCTCCTTCCCAAATTTTACATTTCATCTTTACACATATTTACCCTAGATTAGTATAATGATTTTTGCAATAGTATTGCATTGCAAGTTCATGTCCAGCTCATGTGCAGTTTCCTATTACAAATCAGTCTACCTCAAAACTGTTGCTTCTTGATGGGAAGAAGTGTAGAGGTGTCCAAGTAATGTAATCTATTCCCCTAGTTGTGTCATTTCACTTTATTTGCAGTTTATCTCATCTAACAATAAACTGACCCTTCTGATACATTCAGGCCCTTTGCAAGGTGTATTTTACACTGTTTTTTCAAGCTCTTCTTACAGCAGACACAATCACTTCTTATACATTGTTTTCTTTTAGAAAAGAAATAAATTATTAACAAGTTATGTTTGTTGTTTGCACTGTAATAATCTTTTGTGGAATTCAGTGCAAGGATTCGAATAAAATATTCAAACCATACACAACAGCTATATTTAGGAATCAGACATAGTAACAAAGATACCCTGACTTACTGTGAGAGTCGCACTGATCATGACTCATTGATATGTCTTCTCTACACTGCTAATGAAATTACTAAGTAAGAAGGGCCCCGATACTTACCCTTCACAGTGATAACATACTGCTCTTCACTGGAATTTGCCAGTGATGGATTTCTAATTCATTCCCTGATATGAGTGTGTCAGAAATGCAATACATCTTGAAATAGTAATTTCTTTGTATAGCATTTTTCATACAGGCTATATTCCAAAATATTTCAGAGTTACATAATCCATTTGTAAGCACAAGAGGGAAAAAATAAAGCAGAAGAAAAAAGAGTGAGACAAACAGATACGGACCCTGGGGACAATCACCCTGAAAACAGACGATGAGTCAACTAAGTGAACAGATGTGAGATGGTTAGTCTAGAGCTACAGAAGAAAACACCATTTCACTGATGTGACAGATGTAGGGTGAAGTGCCTCAGAGAAGGCCAGTGTAATCAAAGCAGGACGATTACAGCAAAGCAAAGACTCAAGATCTTTTAGATGGGCTGCATCAGGTCAGTAATGAGCTTTACGCTTAAGAAAGGCAACTTTTAACTCAGATCCTAAATGAGCATTAAATTTACTTGAATAGAACCATATAGAACTATTTTCAGAAACTGATTGCCTACAACGTGACACGTGGACATATATACAAAATATATCCATTTGGTTACTAAAGATATAAATACACCAGAAGGAAGCTACTGACTTTATAAAGTACAAATTTTATAAAAACTTGGCATTTTCTAATCTTTCATCTCTTACTAGTCTCTTATAATTCTGCTTGCTAAGGATAGTTAATTCCTGGTTCACTATTACTTTTCATATGATCTTACACTGAAATTATTGCATATGCTACTGCTTCCAACTTTCATTATAATCTCCCTTTTGAGTCTCTCAGATAAGCACCTTTTCAGCTGAAAACTCCCATTTTTAGCCTAAAGCCAGCAACAATTTTTGGAATAGTGGAACAGGCAAGCTCAGGTGTATTCAAAACAATCTTCAAAGATTGTTTAAAGTAATAACATACCTTTTCCAAATAATTTGACTTAAGAATGGGGAAAAAATGAATAAACTCATTTTGCTCATTTTGCTCTTATTCTGTAGGTTAAAATGAGACCCAAAGAAGTTCCAATTCATGTAATGCATTTCAAAGAATACCTGCTTAATGATTTTCAAGCTGTGGCTAGTGTGATGGGGCTTGCTTTCAGGGTGATTTAGGTCGAGCCACAGAACAGCAAGGGTCACCTTTCATCACTTCGGATTTGGAGCTATTTAATGCCTGAGTTTCCAGTCCTATCAAAACTCTGAAGTCTGAATTCAGAGTTTAACCCACCTAAGCTTTGGGTCAGCCTCATTCTGAAGGCAGGTTTCACAAGGGAAGTGCGTATGCGCTGGCCGGTCAGCCCAGCGACAGACAGGAGCTCAGACATAGCAAAGGAGGGTATACTGAAGGCACACTGATTCCCGTAGGCTGAGGCATCTGGCTTTACACACAGTAAAGAAACAACCCAGAAAAACCACTAAAAACACAATGATTCTAAATAATTCAAAGAAAATGTCAAAGTGTGTTTTTAAAGTCCATACTACACAACAATGCTTTAACCTTTACTTTCTTAGGTCATGTTTAAAAGCTGAATACAAACTCATCCCAACCTTATGATACACAGCCCGACAGTTTCAGTGGCACACAAGACCTATGGGAAGACACTGCGGTGAAAATGAGACCAGAACTGCCCAGGACATGTATCAACAAAGGACATCTGCTAGCCTGAGAGTACTCTGTAGACTTGTAAATGAAACTTGGGTCTGTTCCCTCGGGTAAAAATAGCAACTTACAGCAGGTGGAAATTTTGATACAAATTCCTAAGGATCATCCCAACCCACCACTTTGCAATGCAGACTAACTTACATTTTTATCTGGCATCTTCCGTGAATATAGCACAAGTTGCTGATGTGAACTGCTCACTTGATGCATCATTTCCCTTGTCTCTAAAGTAAGATAATGCACTATAGCTCACCTGTAACTTCTGGGTCAGAGAATCCCTCTGTGCCTGGAGCTCTCTGGCATTGTCAATTTCTTGTTTCAATCCTTCTATTTCCTAAGGGAGAAGAAACAACCTTGCTAGCAACACGTTACCTGGCTTGGCCTCAGTGCAGGTAAGCTGGCTATCGCTGCTTCTCCTGAGCAAGCCATTGCAATGATACCAAAACTGGCAGTTGGCTACTGCCCATCACAGCACATGAAGTTTAAATCCTGCTCTCAATACTCCTGAATCACAGTCCCAAACCAGCAATTCCATTGTGAAGAAACAACAATATAGATAAGCATTTTCTTTTATAGAAGTCCAAGTTTTCCTCTCCCACACAAAAGATCTGACATAATTTTTTCCTAGAAAATTAAGGGTCCTAGTAATTAGAGAAACAATTTTATACTTTAAATTCTACTAGAATCTATCCTTCTCTGTTTTTTCAAGAGAAAAATACAATTTTCATCTGTGAGCTGCTCATTATGTCACTAGTAGCAGGGCTGAGCGTCAAAAAATTGCCTGCTTTGACCATTGATTTCTGGAAAAAGGGAGTCTAAGAGAAATGACATATTTAATTTAGCAAAAAAAAGTAAGGTATAAAAGTAACAAATACAGATAATAAATGGAGGAGAAACCTTTTCTTAGCTTACTCTCAGGTGACAAGAATAGAAACAGTTAATGAAACTAAAAGGTATCGCACTTAAAACTATTAAGTACTGTTCCCCGGAAGGGCATATTCGCATCCCAGAACTCCTTTCGAAAAGATCTCTGCAGCCAACAGCTCAGCATAATTCAGAAGTGAATGGGCACCAAAATGGGAAACATTACCAACCTGAGGCTAATCTCTTAAGTATAAGGGAGTTTGGAAAAGGCTTTGCTCCATTTTGGGAGGATATGTCATTTCGGGAGGCACAACTACTGTGCCTCTCCTGCATCCTCCCTGGAAACACCTAACTGCCCCGCTGGAGGCAAGGCCCTGCAAGACACAGTGCCCCTCCGAACACGCCCACCAGTGCCCACTGTGTCTGCCACAGAGGGCTCAAGGGATCTGGTCTTACATGGGGCAAATAATCCTTCATATGCGGCTCCTTCCACCCCCTGTTTCCCATCCATAAAGGGGTAATTCCCAATCATTCTGTGGCATAAATCTGCTTTCCTCCAGGACCCGTGCCAGTGCAGGTGTTACTCCAACTCCTTTTATTGTCTTGCTGCTGGTCCAGCCCAAGGCAGACGGCACAATAAATAACATCAAGTTTCAGGCGGGGGCTTGGCATGCATTTAAGGAAAGGGCTGATCTTAGGGATCATGGAAGTCAGCCACGTTCACGTAGCCTGAAAAACAGTTTAGCCTGAAAAAGGCATTGACCTATTACTTGTTCCAAACCCTACTCTCCAGAAAAACGAAAGCATGCTTACAGCAGCTTCCCGTCTTAGTGAATTTGGACTGCATCAGTGTGACGACTGCTCTGTGGAAACCACTTATGGCTTACTTTGGCAAACAGAGGTGCTTGGTAAAAGCAAACATGAAAACATGATACTTTTTTATGTTGTTCAGATATACAGCTGTATATTGAACTGATGTAACTATATACACGGAAAAATATTAATCATTTCAAAGAAGCTGGAAAAAATTTTACTTCATAACATCTCTAGGAAATAATACAGTATTTACCAGCCATCACAAGCTTAATATTGAAAGCATTTAGAAATGATGTAACAGAAAGGCCAAGAATAAATGTTAGCAAATACCTCTTCTTTTTTCTTCAGTGTAGACTCTAACTCCTGTATTGTCTGGTTTAATTCTGTTTTATGTGTGTGGACTGCATTGGCTTGACTGCTCACACACTCTAGCTCAGTCACCTGTTGAAATAAGTAGAAGCAACACATACAGAATTAATTTCAACAAATTCAAGGTACTATTACTTCTTTGCATCAATAGCTGCATTTGAAAGATACCCTTAGTTCTGGGTGACTTATGTTGATTAAAATGGTGAAGGTGTTCTTATGAAGTTAGCATAAAATTCCTTAACAAATAGTTTAGCATAAAATGGTTGCTATGACTTCTTGGAAACAATAAATTTAATATGTTGCAGGCTGAAAAGAACATTAATTAAAACTTATACTTATTAATTATTGAAAATGTTATGAAAGAAGCTGAACTACCATTTCAGAAACAGCAATAGCTAGACAATTAAACACAGATCTGTCTGTCTAACTAACCTCTCCATCTGACATTTTTTAATGTTGCACCATCTTAATCAACTAAGCCACAATGCTCACCCACTTCCTAGCAAGCCAATTAACATTTCACAGCCTCAATTTCTGACTCGGCATCAACAGTGTAATAGCAGACACTCAGCCATCAATGTAGAGCTGCCAGCTTCTTACTTCCTCTAGTTTCGGATCTCATCTCTCAGTCACAAAGACAACAGCTAATGGCACAATTTGAATTTGCAGAGTTCCTCTTTATTAGCAAACAGCAAACACTCTCCATCTGCCCTTGGATAAGTTAAGATACCTGGCAGTGGTATGCCCTTTTTATTTTATGTTTTAATCGAAGAGATCTTAATATCCTGCCATTCACAGATAAACAGTTGTCAAAAAATAGCTTCTGCACCAAAGAAATAAAATCCAGGCAGCTAGAGTCTGTGCAGAAAAGTCTTTGTTCATGTACCTCCCAAATTACAGATCAAAATATTAGAGAACTCTTACACTGCATATCTGCATAGATATGAGCACTAAAACCTTTTTGTTTAACAACAAACTGTTAAAATATTAAAAATACTATTTAAAACCTAATAACTAATTTTTTTCCAGAAGGTATGAGCCTGTCAAACTTAGTATACAGTCTTCAACAGAGCTGCACCATCTACCTAGAGTAACTAACAAATCTGACCCAAAAATTCCTTTGAAGAAGGTGCTACCCAATTCTGCAATGAAAACCTTTAGGTCTCCATTTAACTTTCTTGGAAAAGTAGCCCTTAGACAGAGGGCAGGCGTTCTCCAGGACAATTTTATTTCTTAGATAAAAGAACATCTTGAGGAATCAAGGTTGGTGCCCTCCAACACCAAGGTAGGCTAGCTAGTGAAGCCACTGTAATGCCAATAATTTCAGACTCTGAACTATTTGTAGGCTCAAAAGGTAGATTACTGAGTGCAGAGAGAAGTCAAAGGAAAGCCAAGATGAAATACAAGAAAATGAAAACAAAATCCCTATCAACTTCTCCTTTCTGAGTCACAGGGCATGAACTTCCCCTCTGTAACAGCCATGATGAGTCTAGTTTCTTCTAGTGGAAAACTGTGATTAGACATTTTTGCACATCAGGTTTATAAATGGAGAGAACTGAGATTACAGCAAATTCTTGGCAGGGGTAAGGGGCATGAGGGATGAAGATATAGCTTGGTAACACAACACCCCGCACCCCAAAGAACTATCTTATTTGCTGGAATTGTCCCAAAAGAAGTATCAGTGGTCATGGCAAAAAATAATAGCAGTTTGCTCAGTTTTATATGCCACTGAGCACTACAACTGAAATCTTAGATAATTTTCTCAATTTGCTTCAATTACACAAAAATATATCTATTTAGATTCCTTGTGACTGCTACCAATTGTGACTGTTACAGTATTCACCACTACAATTACACAACCACAAACAAGCAGAATTGGAACACACTGACTGAGATAAAACTATGTCTACACAGTATCTGAACTAACATCCAGGTACAGCAAGAATCACAGAGGCACAGAGTAATTTAGGCTGGAAGGGGACCCTGGTAGTCATCTGGTCAAGGCCTCTGCTCAAGATAGGGCCAATTTTGAAGTCACACTTGGTTGCTCAGGGTCTTGCCCACTCACAAACCCTTCACCATCTAGCAGAGCTGCCACAGTTTTACACAGGTTCCTATACTTCTGACATTGCAGGTTTATGCAGAGCTCTAGCTCATACCTAAGTTTTGCTGGAACTGTCAAACTCACTCACCTTGCCCACCTTCACCCCTTCTGCTGTTTAACTTCTTAAACATTTCCAAGCTTTTCTGTTGAACTGAGTCTTGAATTGGGGGTGGAAGCCTCTGTGAACCCAGGGCTAGGGTTGTTAGGGGGACCCAGGGTCAGGTCCTCTCCCACCCACTGTGAAAGGCTGGAACCTCCAAGAAGGTCAATCTCACTTTTAAAGCTGTTGCACTCAGCAATACCCACTGGCTCTTACCAAACACTGGCACAGTGAATACTCATTTACGCAAAGTGTAAGAGCCTCAACTGAAGAGACAGAAGAAACCCAGTCCTCAACCCACCTCTGTCGTAGCACCTAGTGCCTTGGAAGCAAGTGTGCAGAGGTGTCTCAATCTGTGACTAAGGAAGTGCTTGGACCCCCTCTGTTCTCCACATGGTTTCCTCTGGGCTAGTACACACAGAGAGGATGCATGTGTTGGTGCAAGCTTGGAATCCAAGGAGGCTGGTGGATTGAACTGCAATGGATGAAATGTTACTGCTCTCAGCTGCATGTATTGTCACCGGCTGAAAACACCTTCTGCAACAGCCCCGCCAGCTGCATGGCTCACGTTGAACGCTTCCCAGTACGCTCTGGTCCATACTAACTCAAGACACCTATTGAAATTGCTTAAGCAAACACAGCTAATTTTGCCTGAGGAGAGCAGGGAGTGCTCTCACAAACCTTCTTGCCAACAGAGGCAACTGCTGTCAGACAGGCAATTAATTACCAAGACTAAAAGGGCTGTCATGTCTTACTCTGGTCCAGCTTTTCTCTGGGCAAACGTCCACCTCTTACTGCAAGAAAAGAATGCATTGTTCAACTGTTTTGTTTACTGTTTGTTGAAAAATCAGTAAGTTGGAGAAGAAGAACAAATTTGATTAAAAAAATGGGGTTACTTTAATCGCAGTCTTATTTAAATGCCCATTCCTACAGAGATCTGAAAAGATGTCAGATATCTTCATGATGTTATCTTCTTGAATGTACCTATAAAAGAGAAAATAATACTGTGACCCTTTCAAAAAAATTTGTAGAGTAATATTGGCTGGAAAAGGGTGCGATATAAAGAATATGCAATTGAAAACAGAAGTAACAAAAGTTAAAGCTCTAGGCAAAAATCTGGATACAGTTTACTTGCTCTACTTCCTTGTTTCAAGTTGAATTTATTTTTCTCACGACCAGTGGTCCAAAAATCATTAAAAATAACTGTTTATGCATTATGCACAGAAAGGGGCATAAAAGGAAGCTAAAGTGCTTTAATCTGACCCGCCCATGTGCTATTTTCAGGGACATGTCCTCATTCAGTGTTTCATGTTTAAGAGCAAGGCTCAATCAATCATTCAAGCCTTTGCACAGCAACACTTGAGCAATGTACCTGTGATTAAGCCTTGTTTCCAGTACAGAATTCAGACTAGAAGAACAGTCTTTAAACAATAACTGATTAAACAAGGTTCTTCCATTGTGCTAGCGTAAGACTGCGCTGACTTGCGTATCTGAAAAAAGTCAATACTGTGGCTTCATATTTGAGACTAAAAAAGAAAAAAGTATTGTTCTTAGCCTCTGCTTCTTTATTTTGCATTTATCATCCAGGTAAGGATTACAAGTAGGTAAAAAAAATTCTGAAAGGGCTTTTTAGTGACTATTTAATGAGCTAACTCTTCTAGTATATGGCTGGCATTATACTTAACTGCATACTTCAGTGAGAAATAAAAAAGCTGAAATAATACAGCAAGGCAACTCGTTCTGGCAGAGCCTAGACCTTCTCAGCAGAGGCCATTCTAGAGTTTTCTGGAAATTTTGATCGAGGGTCAACAGCCTATAAATAGAGGAGGATGCCAGGCAGAAGTTTTCATTGCAGCAGACAGCTAGCACACACTGGGCTGCTGGGAAGACTGATGGAGTGAGGCTTTGGGCCACGTAACACAACAAGGAGTAACAGCCTTGATGTGAGCTTAAGACAGTGACTGCCCAAAGCCTCAGAAGACTGAAGAATCTCTCAAAGAAAACAAACCTAACCAAGTCACAAGAAACCAAGAGAGACTGCATGAAATCCCAACACAGACAACAACTGCGCAAGTAAAGACCTCAGTTAGACAGAGGCAAAGAAGTGGGAATGACAGAAGTATTTCGAGTGGTTACCTTCCCCAAGCAACTATGGACTGAGTGAATCTGGGCTATGTTTGCTGCAGGCTAATTAATTTTTTCAAACCACTTTCTTGAGATAAATTTGTACATTTCTGATCTCGAACAACAGTAGTTTTTATTCAGCATCTTAAATTCAGTACCAACAGATCATGAAATTCCTTCTAAACTTCATACAGAAATTACTTCAACTGCTACAGAAACGCAAAGAAAGACAGATTAGAACATATTTTCAGTGTAGCTGTGGCCTGTTTTATATACCTGACACTATTAACCTGTTGTTTCCTAAAGGTATTTTTATCCCTTCTATTTACTGTGGAATGCAATATCCAAGGTCTACTATCCTAGGCTACAGTGCAGAACACGCAGAGTGCTCACATGCAAGACAATTTAAGTATTAATTATGTATTTTTAGCTGGTTCAGTTACATCCCTAAATGGATCATAACTGTGACTGTGACAATATTATTGCATCAATAATTCAAGATGAATGTCCCACAAAGAAAAAAGAGCCCTTTGCTTTCAGCAAGAGGAAGAGAAATGATGTTGCATGGCTCAACAAAACTAGGAATAATTGCATAAGGTTTCACATAATTTATGCAGAAGAAGCTTCTCAGTTCTTCATCGTGGACAGTAAGATGCAAGACAGCATGCAGCAAGCCAATCATAAAAATAATTCCAGTATAGCTTTCAAGAATAAAAAACTCTGGAAAGATTTTTGGTGTTAAGA